CCGGTGACAAATGGAGTCCCTCAGGGGTCTGTACTGGGACCGGTGCTATTTAACATCTTCATCAATGACATAGACAGTGGGATCGAGTGCATCCTCAGCAAGTTTGCAGATGACACCAAGCTGAGTGGTGCAGTTGACACACCAGAAGGATAAGATGTCATCAAAAGGGACCTGGACAAGCTGGAGAGGTGGGCCTCTGTGAACCTCATGAGGTTCACAAGGTTTAAGGCCAAATGCAATGTCCTGCACCTGGGACGGGGCAACCCCCGGTATCAATACAGGCTGGGGGATGAAGGGATTGAGAGCAGCCCTGTGGAGAAGGACTTGGGGCTACTGGTGGATGAAAAGCTGGACATGAGCCAACAATGTGCACTTGCAGCCCAGAAAGCCAACCGTATCCTGGGCTGCATCAAAAGCAGCGTGGCCAGCAGGTCGAGGGGGGTGATTCTGCCCCTCTGCTCTGCTCTGGTGAGATCTCACCTGGAGCACTGCGTCCAGCTCTGGGGCCCTCAGCACAAGAAGGACATGGACCTGTTGGAGTGGGTCCAGAAGAGGGCCACCAAAATGATGAGAGGGCTGGAGCACCTCTCCTAGGAAGCCAGGCTGAGAGAGTTGGGGTTGTTCAGCCTGGAGAAGAGAAGGCTGTGAGGAGACCTTATTGCTGCCTTCCAGTACTTAAAGGGGGCCTACAGGAAGGATTGGGACAATCTTTTTAGCAAGGCCTGTTGTGACAGAACAAGGAATAATGGATTTAAACTAAAGAAGAACAGATTTAGACTAGACATAAGACAGACAATTTTTTACCATGAGGGTGGTCAAGCAGTGGAACAGGTTGCCCAGGCAGGCAGTGGCGGCCCCATCCCTGGCAACATTCATGGTCAGATTGGACAGGGCTCTGAGCAGCCTGATCTAGTTAAAGCTGTCCCTGCTCACTGCAGGGGGGTTGGGCTAGATGACCTCTAAAGGTCCCTTCCAACCCAAAGCATTCTATGATTCTGTGATTCACAGAGAGTTTGCAACCAAAACAGAAATTCCACATCCCTGGGAGCTGAGTGGAAACCAACAGGGCAACAGATGTCCAAAACAAAGTCTGAACCATACACAATGATTGTAGGAAGAGACCAACACTCCTAATGCCGGCTGGGAAATACAAGAAGCCAGAACAAGCTCTTTCACATCAGTCACTAAAGGAGGTTCAATTCCAATATTACAAAAGCAATGCCCTCCAGAACACAAGCAAACCTGCCTAAAGAACTTTTACTTAACAAGCCCCTAGAAACAAAAGAGTTAAGAGTTAACATTAGCCATGTTACGTCCACTATCATAACACCATGTCTTTATTGTAAGACTGAAAAGCATTTAGAAATAGCCTATAAAACTAAAATATACCTTAATTTTGCCTATATAGATATATACACAAACACACAAAAAAGAACATGTAGGCATGTCTGAGAAAAAACTGTAGGAGATACTGACAACATTTATGTGATTCTGACCCCTTACCTGGACAAGATGGATTAGGGTGGTTAGAATGGCACATCGCAGCATATTGTGCTCCTCACTCTGTTTCCAAAGGAGTGGTAAATACTGAACCAAACATCCTACATATGGTCGTATCTGAAGTTCAGAACACAAATTTGTTTTTTAATGTGTGAAACAAGGCTATTAATTTATCCCAAGCATAATTTCTGAAATATTTAAGAGCTGCTTTTGTCACAGTAAAAATACAGAGTTTGCTTTAATTTACTCCTCTTTCCTCTTCCTAAAACACCATGTTCCATACTCTGTGACTGAAGTAACTTCTGAGGGCACAGTAGTTTGAAAAGAACATATTACTTACAGTAAGATTTGTGCATGGCCATCAGGCTTAAGTAGTAAAGAGAACACAAAGAATACTTCATTTGATAACCAGAGATATTTTCATATTAATACATTCTTCACTTAGACGGGATTCCTAAATAACGGCATCCTTTAAGACAACCAGAAACAGTCCCAGTAAAAAAGAAAATAATGCTGAATAACCTCTGAAGTCACCTATGCTTTGAGCAGGGATTGGACGATGTAGCCTCCAGAGGTTTGTCCCAACCTATATGTTTTCTATGATGCTCTACAATACTATAAGTTTTATCAATTTCTCTTCTAAAGACTTTAATTAGGAATTAACCTAAAGAGACTCAAAGGTTCTTTCTCAGCTTGTTTTTTCTGCTGCTTCTCTAGCTGATCTAAAATGCAGGGAAATCGCTGTCATGTTGACTTTTCATACAAGAGACAATTAGGAAAGCTTCATTTGGCTCTCAGACAGGATTACTTGCAGAAAGAGGACAAACTCAAAACCATGCATTATCTCGATACAGTAATACTGCACAAAACCAAAAGCAGTCAACAATTAATTTTTTAATTCTGCAAAAACATCTTCAATTTCTTTATGTATAAGCTGAAAAATATACTTTAACACTAAGAAGAAAGTACTGAAAATTCATAATGTGAACTTCAAACTTTTCATGCAGTTAAGGAGAGTGCTGTGTAGGCAATCATGATCCATATCAGTGCCAATGACAGACTACAAATTTAACTGCACAGTCCCCAGGAGTGTGAAGCATTTTGTCCCCCGAAATGTCTCTTTCAATACGAAAGATTTAATAAAATACTAGTTCTGATATAAGAGACAATTAGAATAAATTACAATTAAAAAAACTGCAAGAAATGCAATAAGATAAGCAGCGAAAGTCTCGCTGTACTCTGAAAAAATACATAGTAAATAAAGAAAAGTAGTAGTAACTGAGCAAAAACATTTATCTTTTGTGTAAAATGAGAAGTGAAAAGAGAACCAAGTAATGCAAACAATGCAGGCATCTATCATAACAATAACTAGTCTATTAATTGGTGACATTTTTCTACTATTTTTGTAGAAGCCAAAACCATCAAGTCCTCCTTTGTGTTCTTAGTACAAAGCTAACACCGAAATCTATTAAAAAAAAATACCTGCATATTGACTCTTTCAATCACACAAGACAGAACATGAAGAACATGCATTTTGGTGTCACATTGTGTTACTTCCTGAAGTAGCTGAAAGATCAGTGTAAACATGGATTCCAGATACTAAAAGAAAAACAAACAGCTACAGATTAGACCATCAAAAATACAACTGGTGACATGAATTGGTGATTTTCCTGTATACTTACAACTAAGACATCTATGAACTTTAAAAGAAACTTGCAAAGTGTGCAAAATGTTATTTTTCATTTGGAAAAATGCACACTAGCCAATCACTGCCTAAACAAGATAAAAAATGTCAAGATACGCTCTTACATAACATTTCAAATGCAATCAATTTGAACATACATCATTTTCATGTTTTGGTAAGTGTAAACATGACCTTGCAGATAAAATACTATAAAGCTGAAGGCTGCCTCTCCAGAACGCGCATTTTTTTAGGGTCAGAGCAAAGGTACAGTCTTCTGGTTTTTGGGTCAGTAGAAAAATTGAACTGAAAAAGATGTCTCAAACAATTCCAATGCTTACAGTGTAGATGCACTCTGCATTTTTGTTTGCTCTCAAGAGAGTTGCAATTAACATGGAAGTCATAATCAAGTAAGAAAAAGCACCTGCTAAATTTGAGTGATCATAACAAAGCTTTGTTGTATTTATAGCTAACATTTCAGTTTACTTAATGACAACAGTGATGACCACTGTAAATAACACAAATATAGGAGACCAAGAAAGTCTATGTTTTTAAGGTGCAATTTTAAATACACATTTACATTTAATATTCGTGTGAAAGAACACGTTGAAAAGTACTGTGTGAAATACAATATTTGTATTGTGTGAAAGTATTGTGTGAAAACAGGCATACTGGAAAGTCACACTGGTGTGGAGACTTATTTGTTAAAGGCAGCATTCATATTGTCTTAGCATGAAGCAACTTAGCATCTCATAACACATACTGTATATATATATTATAGTACTAAACACAATGCTAAGAAGTTGTAATAGTCATAACACTAAAAGGTTTTGAATTGTCTGGCTGTATATTGCACATTAGCAACCTTAACAGCAGCAGTATGAGTCTTCACATGTTTCAGCCTATGAAGACTGAAAAATAAAATAAAGACACACTGATTACTACATAGTGTAGTTTAAAATGAAATCAGAAATTATTTTTTTCCTGGTTTAAAATGAAATTGGAAAATATTTTTTTTCCTGCTTTCCTCTACGGATCTTTCTGCTCATCAGAATGTACCCATATAAATGCTCTTACTGGTAAGAACTGGTCAGTTCTGAACTCGAAGTCATCTACAGGTAAACAACCATTAAGGAAAAGTAATACAGATGGCAGATGGATACAAGATTCAAATAAGCAAATATTCCATGGATACACAAAAGCTATATTGTGAAGAATTTGCTAGTAATTTTAAAATTGTTTATTTTCCAGTAACTCTGAATTAAGAGCTAATCAAACATCTTTGCCAATAAAAGGATATTCAACTTCAGTGTTGTAGCTGTCTCGATGCGGACCTGAAAGACAAAAGTCAAAGAGCATCACGTATACATCCATTAAACAGTTTTATTATCAATGTAATATCTGACAATATCAAACCAGTTGCTGTTTTGGCAATTGAATCATTCTATGTGTTCTGTCATGTCTAAGAAATGTAGTTAGTTCAACTCAAACATTTTCATTTGCTTTCATTTTAGTATCCTTCACAGTTTATTTGGCATTGCTAAAGTGGTACCACCTGGAGAATCTACTCAGCCAAAACCTTCATGAAGGTCAAGAAAGAATTAAACAAGAAGATATCTAGCCTATGATAAAAATTCTTGCAATAGAGAAGGAGTTTAACTTGAGATTATCTCATGGCTTGCTGCCATCCAAAAAGCACAGAATCCAATAAACCCAACAAGTTAGCATGTTCTTCCCTGGTAGATGTTCAGGTGCTCAGAAAGCATTAACTGAAAACAGTCACAACACTGACACAGAAACACATCCTGCTCTGCTGAAGCTGTCTGGAATCACAGAGATAACTTTTATGACTGCCAATTACTAATATTTAACTAGCAAAGTAGCTAGGCTTTAGTTTATTTGTTGGCTGGTAGGTCTGTTTGTTTAAAAATATAAACCAAAAGAAACAGTGGCAAAACCAGCTTCTCAACCTCACCTGCTGGTAAACTGAAATTGTAGCTTAAAACTACAGAATTGTACTTAACCAGCTTAGCAACGAATGCCTTTTATCATATTCTGCTAGCAGGTAACTATGTTGATGCTTAAATAATACTGTATATTGCAGGGACTAGTCACTTTTATCTACACAAAGTGTTCATTTGTTTATAAATTGTTTATCTCAAGACAATTCACAGCTGCTTTCTTACAAAATACAGACTGTTGCTATTGCCACATTTTCCCACCAAAGTCATCACCTAGTAAACATCTTAAGGGCTTGTTTCATGTCTTCAACCTTATTGTTTCTCATCTCCACAATTAAACACCACCACAACTTCCCAACACATTGTCTTTTGCAAGACACAACAGACTTTAAGGTGTGATGTTATGAAGTTCTCAATCAAGTTTACATAAGGTATGGTATTTATGTTTCACCTGTGTTTCCAGAACAAATGTGTAATCCAAAACATTACTTATACTTACCACTAAGTCCTGGTCTTGAAGCAAGTTACGAATTGCCTCATATAACATAGGTCTCAAGTCTGATTTGAATTTTACAGAAATCCACTGTCCAATCAGCCACATTACTCGTCGGCGTATTGGTTTATATCTTTAAAAGTGGAGAAAAAAAATTGTACTCTTTAACTCATTATACTTGCTGTTCTACAATACTTTGATGAAAAAGAAATCCAAGAATCACTAGGAAAGCACTATTCCCCAAAACAATTATTACATGATTTAGTTTGTCAAGACCAACTTTAGAACTTTAATGCAGAAATCTTTTTCATCAAAATTCTTCACTGGAAGGCTCAGGAAACATGAACTTAGTCTGAAAAAGTTAGCTTCATCCTAAATGACTGAATCTTGAAGGTCTCACTAGAGATACAGTTTATTCTGCAAATAGCACACCAATAAAAGAAACTAAATCTTTTATTTATTACTGCCATCATGGCATCTACTGCTTTCATCATACTTTCCAGCAATTTCCTTGACATTCCTTTTATGCTTAGAACTTTAGCCCAGATACAATTTAAAAATGCAAGCTTAAGTACTGCATTACAGCAACTGCCAGAGTATTTCATGTCATCAGTCTAGAACTATCCGCAGAAGAAATTGACGTTATCTAATCTTGCACCACTGCTGCAACAAGAGCACAAACCAAACAGCTTTAGAGTCAAAGCAAAGAAGTAAGAACCAGAACAACGAGCTGAATTGCCTAACATAATGAGTGAGAAAAGCATTCTGTAGAGCTGCTACTTTTCTCCACTGATTATAAAAGCTGACCAGGAAGAGTAGCTCAGTTTTAAATCTTTAACTTGCAGACGTATAAAATTAGGCAAGATGAACCCTATTCATAGAATTTTAAGTAACAAATTATTTTGCCTTGTTATCCTAAATGTATTTTTCACTTGATAAACGCCAGCCTTGTAAGCCATCAAGACAGCAATTTAAACTGAAGTTATTGAGGCTTCTTTAAATTTAATAGATGTGATTTATTAAACATTCCCATAACTATGAGATAATCAACAAAGCACACCTTCAGAGAACGTGGAAGTTGTGAAGTAGCTTGTATATAGCAGTTCATCAGACTGGAACACAAAGCTAATGACGAATAACATTCTAGTGTCGCTTGAGATTTACTGAGTGGCAGTGAAGCATGAACAACCCACGATGAAACATGAGTTACACAAGACATTACCTTACTAACACATCCTTCTATTTATTCGAGAAGCTGTGATGATACAGCTTTCTCTATTCTTAGAATGCTCATGCCTGATACATAACCTTGTAAAAATCAGAATATTAAAAAAACTGAGAGGTTTTTCTTGAGGTTGGCATTCAATAGTTTTCAAACTACTATCACAAAGAAAAGCTTAAAATGACATGACATAAGTAGATAACTGTCTGCTGACAGCAAGGATTTTCAGCTCTGGTGATATCTGTTGTACAACCCATACATCTTACATGCGTCTTTATATTCTTTCTCTCTCCCTCTGGTAGAAAAGATAGCATGCTTTGGGGTATTTTTTTGCGGGGGGGAGGGGGGGTGTATGTGTTAGGTTTTGTTTGGGGTTTTTTGTTTTGTTTGGTATTTTAAAAGGACTTAAGTTCCTAGAAATTCTTCTGCTCATAGGTGCTCATTTTTGAAGTCCTATCATTTCTACATTCACTATGACCAGGTAAAGCTCACCCCTTAGAACATCATTAGCTTTTACACTACGAGCACACACTAAGTACAAGCAGATTGAGCCTGCTGGACCTAAAGCTCACGTGGCAAAAGTGACCATATTCCAAAATAAGGTAGCTTCTGTTCCAATAGTCATAAGATGGTAGCTTTACGCAGTCTGGACAGCATTCAGATATCCAAGTCAAAAGTATCTTACTTGATATCAAAGTATTAAGTGT